TGTGTGTTCACTGCTGTGTGTGTGCACTTTGGATGGGTTAAATGCAGAGCACTAATTCCAAGTATGGGTCACCATACCACGTCACTTTCATAGGCTATTTATCCCAAGTAAAATTAAAGAACTCCATTTCAAAATTGCTCATAGATACTACCCTTGTAATTTATTTTTGAGCAGATTCTCTGAGAATATATCCTCAATGTGCTCATTTTGTAATACTGATGAAGAATCTATTCTACATCTGTTTTATCATTGCCCATTCACCAAGTCTTTTTGGTCAGAAGTTACCATGTTAATTTTTTCCTGCTGTAACAAAATGATAGAAATAACAGAATCTATCATTTTTTTGTCAGATTTTCATTCCAAGGACATTAATCTGGAACATATTGTTTTATTGCTTTGTCTTCTGGGTAAATTTCACCTTCATAAAGCCAGAACTTTTCATTGCAAACCTAACTTTAGAAAGTTTTCATCTGATATAAAGTCCCTTTTTACTTCTTTTAAGAATATGTCAAATCCTTTGAACTCAAAGGCTTCTAAAACTTTTAACATTCTTGAGTCTATTGTAAGCTATCTTTAAAAGACTTTCCTCTCTTTCTTTCTTTCTTTTTTTTCTTTTTTTCTTCTTTATCATTGGTATATTTTGTTAATTTGTGTAGCTTGTCTAACTTCATGTCTTGATGTCTGTTAGCCCCATGTTACTTCATAACTGTTGTTATTCTTTCAATTGCAATAAAAAAAAAAAACTTATGTTTTTGTCACTCGGCTCGGCTAATGTCCGTCCCATGCACTGAACGCGCTCTCCTCCACATCACGAGTAGACACGCCCCTTATTGCTGATTGGCTACAAGTTTGGTTTGCGATTCGGCCCGAATCAGTTTTCTAAAGTGTTTTTGAAAAATCACTTACTCTGCCTTTAATCTGGAACATATTGTTTTATTGCTTTGTCTTCTGGGTAAATTTCACCTTCATAAAGCCAGAACCATTCATTGCAAACCTAACTTTAGAATGTTTTCATCTGATATAAAGTCCCTTTTTACTTCTTTTAAGAATATGTCAAATCCTTTGAACTCAAAGGCTTCTAAAACTTTTAACATTCTTGAGTCTATTGTAAGCTATCTTTAAAAGACTTTCCTTTCTTTCTTTCTTTCTTTTTTTTCTTTTTTTCTTCTTTATCATTGGTATATTTTGTTAATTTGTGTAGCTTGTCTAACTTCATGTGATGATGTCCGTTAGCCCCATGTTACTTCATAACTGTTGTTATTCTTTCAATTGCAATGCAATATAAAAAAATATATATATTTAAGATCGTAAATCAATATGGTGGCTAGTTATAATGTCCCTATGTTAGCTATGTTTTGTGAAAGACTAAACGCCATTGTGCATAAAAATACCACAGAAAGAAAGTTAGTCAATATCACACGAAGAGTGCCAGTTTTCACCTCTAAAATCAGCATGATTAAATATTTTCCCCACGGACCATTATTACTGACGCACAACCCGATAAACGCTGGACTAGACCATAGACTGTATAAAAACAGGGACCAGATAAATATATAAAAAAAAGCGCTGGACATATTTAAGACCGTAAATCAATATGGTGGGTAGTTATAATGTCCCCTACGTTAGCTATGTTTTGTGAAAGACTAAACGCCATTGTGCATAAAAATACCACAGAAAGAAAGTTAGTCAATATCACACGAAGAGTGCCAGTTTTCACCTCTAAAATCTGCATGATTACAAATGTGATTTTATTCAACAGTTCAATAAACAAGAAGGTAATATTATGAGACTTACGTTTTAGACACTATATTGCCTGTTTTTGCTTTATTTTGGCAACAAAAAATTCCAAACACGGCCACAGCGCTGTTTTGCGTCTCTGAGCAACATGACGGCGTTTCGTTCCTGAATGAATCAACCGTTTAAATGATTCGGTTCAATTGCAATGGCTCACTTCTTAACAGTGACTTGCTGCCACCTGCTGGCGGGTTTTTTTTTTTCATTTTTAAAATAATTTGAAATCTCAGTATTCAATGTTTTATGTTTAAAATTACAAAATATTATTTATGCATTTGTAACTGCAGGTTAAATGCATTCATGTCCCTCTGTGTGGGAAATTCATCCCATGCAGCTTCTGTGTTTCCTCTGCATTGCAAAGATGAATTTTGATACTATAATTTGTTTGGTAACAGCCGAAATGTCTTTTATTCTAATTGACTGATTAAATGTAAGAATTTGACTCAAAAGAATGCGCACACTTTTAGAAAAAAAAGGCTTTATAAAGGTAAAAATGCCCATAAAATGTAAAAATCAATTTAAACTTATTGGAACAGATTAATTTCTATCACTGCTGTGAACTGACCCGCACACAGAATATGAGGGATATCAAAAACAAGTTTTACACACACACATGCACACACCAGTACGTATAGGGACATTTAAGAGGGTTAATTCTCCAAATAACTCTAATTTCATGTTGCAGAAAAATGTGTTTAAAAATTGTGTATGGTCTCTTGTTCTTGTTCCAAGTTACCTTCCTGTCCACTGATTTTTGCCTCTCACAAAAGCCACAAAGCCTTCCAAGAAGACAGTAAAGTCTTATGTCATGCTTGAGCTTTAGTTAGGCTGAAACTTGAAAGTTAAGTTGCACGACATTAATGCAATGTTTAGGTATTATTATTATTATTATTATTACTATTATTTTGATTTATGTGCTTGAGCTTTAGTTAGGCTGAAACTTGAAAGTTAAGTTGCACGACATAAATGCAATGTTTAGGTATTATTATTATTTTGATTTATGCCTTCGTTTTAGTTTGTTTACCTTTATTAAAGTAATGTGAAATAGATTTTTGTATTTTTATTTATTTAAATTTTTTATTGATATATTTGTATTTGCATTTTGAATGCAATTTGGCAATTAAATACATTAAATAGGTTTAGTTTTTCACGGTTATTAATGTATGCAATTTCAGCAATAAAAATGTAAATTTTTCTAAAAAGAAAACAAATTAGTTGTTTATTTTAAGAGATCTTTCTTATTATCTCTTGTATATTTAGTATTGCTCTTTAATAAAGAAAAATGACTTATCCGATTACTCGATTAATCGACGGAATAATCGGCAGATAGCTACAGCCCTAATTACAGCAAAGTGCGTGATTACAGTACTAAGCCGCTGCAATGGAGCAGCTCTAATGCTATTAAATTAAAGATGTACCATAGAGCAAAAAAAAATGAAAAGTGAAAGTAACAAAATACTTGTAAAATACATCCCTAATTAAAGGGTTTCATGAAAAAGACCGTTTTTAGTACTTCCTTCTAAAAAGAATTCAGCAGAATTCTGTTTTCAACCACATAGTGTTTATTTTTGGTTTCAAACACAATATATATATATATATATATATATACCGATATGTATACCAATATATTGCCAGGGCTTATAATTACCAGAATGATGTTTTCCAAATTTTTTTTTTTGTTTTTTTTTTTTTAGACAAACACCACTGGTTTAACTTTAAAGTATTGTTAGAGTATTGTATCATGAGATCAGTGTACCATTACATCTGTTACTAGTAATAAATGCACTGTATAAACATTTGCATTTAAAATATTTTTCTAGCAAGATATTAATAATTCTCTCATAGTTTGTAAAAATATTTTGTCTCAAAATCTTGCATCAGTGCGTGAGCAAGATAGAGAGCATCTCCCCAGTAAAGCTGTGTGTTTGCAGGGCTTTTGCGGCAGCAGTACGGTGTCTGTACCAGAGAGTCTACTCTTTGTGTCCACACTGGACGGGAACCTTCACGCCGTCAGCAAGAGATCCGGAACAATCAAATGGACTTTAAAAGAAGGTACGTATATGTGCTTCTTTCAAGACCAGTATCAAAATACTCGTAGCACATTGCAAACTGCAATGAAAACAGTGGACGCCCAGTGAGCCTGTGAAAGTGAATACCAGCACTATTGTTTGCTGGTGTGTAATATTGTTATCAGTGGTTCTCAACTTATTCAACTTATTTACTTATTTAACCCATACAGGCTAAGATACTGCTTCTGGTAATTTTTCTGTAATTATGGCAAAGCTGCTTGTTTGCATATGTTTTAGATTGTCTAATATTCGAATATAGCAAATGAATTAACTGTGATTCACTTTGTGATTTCATAAGCTTCAAGAACTGTTTGTTCTTCAATAAAAATTTGAACAATTCTTCATAGTACTCAATACCCATAGCAGGAAAAATAGACATTCAAGTTCAAACTGAAAAGTGTCTAGCATTGTTTTGTTTGAAGAAAAAATATATATTAAGGCCAGGATTTGAGTGGTATATTAAAATAAGTATAGATATTCTGGTTTAAGTTTGAGGGTGATTTTTGCAAAATATTATTTACTATTTTCTACTAGCTTTTGTTTTTTACACAATAGTCATTGTTTAAAACTTTACTAGAGAGACACTGATTTGCGTTATCCAGCTTGGAAATTAATTTACGTATCAAGTTTTGATCTGTCGTTCACGCTCCGTTTCAGAAAGCGTGATGTAAGAGGGCTTGTGATGCACAGAAACGATCAGAGAATATGAGAGATTTGTGTTTTAAAGCTAAACACACACTGAAATAATACACTGACTGAAAACTGGACATGAGTCACTATTCTCTCTGCCGTCTCTGATGTAATCAGCTTGTATTTCTCTGCGTTAGTGCAGTGTATATTTTTGGACTGATTGTTTGAATCCATTTGCTTACTAGATCCTTGAACCAGGGCCGAGTCCAAAAATGTTTAAGCGGGTGGGCCTACATAAAACAAAGTGGATGGGCAAAGTGTAGTGTTTGAAAACTTCATGTCAGATTGCCAACAATGGTTCAAGATGGCAAATAAACAACACTGGCAAACAAACAATAAAATGCCTATTTCCGGTCAAGTATAATGACAATACAAACATTATATGAGTTTGGAGTTTTTAAACTAGAAACACTGAAAAATATCTAGTTGCCTTTACATGCCCTCCTACAATATCTTTATGGTTAATAACTTTCTAAACTTTCACCTGTCGAAAAGTACAAGGACACCTCGTAAAAGAAGTAATTCATATTGATCGATCAGTTTAAACTAAGTCTCCTGAAGAGACACAATCACTTCATTCGAATAGTTAATTTAGGATTTTGTTCATATATAAACATTGATCATCTTCTCATCCAATACATGCTTGCTTGACACATGGGAACCAATGAGGTTTGTTTTAACACATCAAGCAAGCACGCTAAAGCTTCTGCGTTTACTATATATGATGAGCTCTATGTATGTATGCTGATGAGTGTTTATATGTAAATAAAAGCCTAAATTAAATATGTTCATCAAATGAAGTGATCGTTTCCCTTCAGAAGACTTGGATTATATAGATTGGTTCATGTGGAATGATATCATGTCTCATATCAGTCTCTTTTTGTACTTTTTGATGCAATAAATTTTAGTTGTGTTAACTTGTAATGAATGAACAAAAAAGTTATAAGAACATTTAAAAATACAGATTTCTTTTTTGTGTGTTCTGAAAAATATATATACATTTGTGTTAATTAGCCAACTGAAAAAGTTATCATTTTGATTTATCATAACATTTGTCATAACTATTGTTGGTCATATTAAAAATAAGGGTCCCACTTTATATTAAGTGGCCTTAACTACTATGTCGTTACATCAAAAAATAAGTACAATGTACTTACTGTGTTCATATTGTGTTGCAAAACACTTTTGCTGCTATTGAGGTGGGATACGGTATAAGGTTAGGGACAGGTTTGGTGGTATGGGTAGGTTTTGGGGTGGGTTAAGGTGTAAGGGATGGGTCAACAGTGTAATTATAAATGTAGTTACAGAAATTAATTACAGATGTAATTACATGCAGATATTTTTCAAATATAAGTGCAATGTAAGTACATGTATGTACACAATAAGTGCATTGTACCAAATGATTAATTTAAATGTAAGTACATAGTAGTTAAGGCCACTTAATATAAAGTGGGACCAAAATAAGAAACCAATTTGCACACAAACAGTGTGTCATCAAGGCCAGGCACGTCTGTTCACCTCATTTCCTCTTGAGCTTTTTCCCAGAACAACACATGAATGAGGGATGGTTCCATTTAATGCATTTTAATGCATCCTCCACTTCTGCTGCATTAGCATGCATTGAATGGAATCTTCCATCGTTGGTAAACTGGCCACACACTGGCTTTATTTTTCAATATCCAAAGTTGCATTTCGTTCACCTTCTGTGACTCTCAAAAGCCTGATGTACAGGCTAAGCCAGTCATACACGCTGTAGCTACAGGACTGCGATGGACGTTAGAGGCCGTTGCACAACACACCCACAGCAGCCTGTGCTGTGCAGTCTGACCTGATAGTCTGTGTTTAAATGTGCTGTCGTTGTGATCATGCTCTCACACAGTTGTCATGGATAATAAATCTAAATTGCGTAACTTTTAAACTGCTTTTATTTCCAGCAAACTTCTTATCGTGCAAATATTTGAATGAACAAAAAGTTCAACAACTGAGACAAACTGCCATAGGCATCTTCCATTTGTAAGATTACAGTTTTTTTTTATGTGGCCTCATGCCTCATGCAGCAGAACTATGGCATGTTCACGCAGGTGATCAGGCATAACACTTGTTGTTTCATAGGTTTGATGACTTTACTAATATTCTAGAATATGATAATAAAATGTAATAAAATGGAATTGTTGTTTATATGAAGGTCTAATAGAGGTGATACTGGGAGCAATAAGAACTAAATAAATGAATACCCATTAAAGGAACACTCCACTATTTTTGAAAATAGGCTAATTTTCCAACTCCCCTAGAGTTAAACAGTTGAGTTTTACCATTTTCGAATCTCATTCCGGCATAATAATCAAGGAACTTTGCTGCCGTACCATGGGTGCAGCAGGCGCAATGATATTTATTACGCAGCGCCAGTAATAGGCTAACTTCCGTCAACATAACCAACGTGACCACCTGCTTGCACAGGGAGCATGCTGGGGACTATTTTCAGGCACTGCGTAATATCATTGCGCCTGCTGCACCCATGGTACGGCAGCAAAGTTCCTTGATTATTACGCCGGAATGAGAGTATAGTTCCTAGCCATATCGGCCTAGAAAATCCCAACTTTTAATTTTCCGTCGGTCTTAGTACATGATGTAACTACAGAAGAGTCAAGTTTTAAATAGGAAAAATATAGAAACTCTTTGGTCATTTTTGAGCGAGATGCTAACGGTCTAATCAGATTCAATGATCTATGCTAAGCTACAGCTAAAAGTGCTACCGCCAGACCCGGAGATCGGCTGAATGGATTCGAAAACGGTAAAACTCAACTGTTTAACTCTAGGGGAGTTGAAAAATTAGCCAATTTTCAAAAATAGTGGATTGTTCCTTTAAGTTTACATCCAAGTTTTATGCACAGTACTTTGTTTGCTTTGTGTCTTCATGTTTGCTCATCCCTTCATTTGCCTGTGATAAAGTATAACTCTTAACTGACACCTTTCTCATTCCCAATGCAGATCCTGTTTTGCAAGTCCCAACGCATGTGTCAGAGTAAGCCTTCTTTCATTTATGCTTGAGCGCTTGTGCATGAAAAGTGAAACAACAGGAACTGTGCAAGATGCTGAGCTAGCACGATTCTTCCTATTCATGATACCATCTAAATGAAGCCACAGATAAAAACACCTAACATAAGCCTACATATTAAAGGATAAAAAAAATAATGATCTGCGTGCTGCTGTTTTTGTCACAAAAGAATTTGCTGTTTTTTATTTTCTGTGAGAAAAAATACAGGTTTGGAGCAACATCAGTCATTCAACATGACAATCCTGAACAAATTTTATTATTATTTTTACAGGCCTGCATTCCTCCCAGACCCCAATGATGGCAGTTTGTACTCTCTCGGAGGGAAAAATAATGAGGGTTTGACGGTGAGAGATAACTTCTTTTCATTTCTCATGAAGGACTTCCTCATTCTCTGGAATCTAAGGATAGATATAATTCTCGTTTCTTAGCTTTAGAAATGAGAAATGTCATTTTGAAGTGAAACATCTGAGGTGCTTTTACCAAAAGAAAAAAGTTTCTAAGTGTAATTTTGGATGGAGTAACAAATATTATATCTAATATTTGGGGATGTTTCAGAAACTGCCGTTCACCATTCCTGAGCTGGTCCAGGCATCTCCCTGTCGCGGTTCTGATGGCATCTTATACACGGGTGAGAGACTTATTCTCATTCATTCTTTTGTAATTATTCATCTAAAGTTCCATTCAACCAAGCATCACTATTACTATGCCTTATAGATAAGGTAGAGATTTAAACAAACCCATAACCATAAATAATAAACATTGTTCTTCAACATGATTAGAGTGTCAGGCAGCAGAGGTTGATATTTGAGGAACTGGCCAGTTCCTAGCGGCCTCCCTGTGGTTGGGAGGGTGTGTGGGCGCTGTGGGATTGTTTCATGATCTCACTGCACACAAGATGTCTGTCTGTACCACCCTTTCTTAACTCTTAAATGTGCAAATCACAAGGCACAGCTACATCTATAATGACACCCAAAGGAAGAAGGTCAAACACTGATTAAATCAGACTGCAGACAGGCCTGAATGTTAAACAATGAAAATCCAATTTCTTAATCTCTTTAAATGAGACTTATCAAGTTTAAACATCAGCATTTAAGTTCCTCTCTGCAATGAAACTCATATGTTGAATATCACAGTGTAACCCACAGGAAATAACCTTGTTTCACTCGAAGCCACACTTGTTTCCAAGCGTAAACATGTGGTGTGTTTGAACTGAAGTGTCGATGCCTGTTTACACATCCTGGAGAGAACATTTACTCATGCTGCATCAGTTATGTGGACTTTTGGTCTTTAAATTGATAAGGGGGAAATTGAAATGGGAAAACAAGAAGCACATGGGAAAACCCTGCACTGAATATGTAAATGCTCTATCTTTAGATCTTATGGAATTATTCTTGTTTATTAGTGTTTTTTTTTTTGTTTTTTTTTAACTAGCTGATGTCACCAAACCCTCTAATTTTTTATGTACAGCCTGTGACATGCTGTTGATTACCATAAAAGATAAGCATTTACATAACATTATTTCAGGTATTGTATATGTTAACATGAGACTACTGTGATAACAAACATACAAGCTTCACATTTCTTTAGTTTTAATCTGTCCAGAATGTCTTGTCACATACACTTCCATTTTAAGTGCAGGTCTGTACACAAAGTTTTTGTTTTTGCAAACTGAAGAATGGGTCAGAATTATTTTCTGTAGTAGAATCGCAGATGCTGCACAAAGAGATGATATTAAATTAAACTTTCAATTGAATGCAAATTGCACATTCACAATTGTATGCTGGCCTGTGCTTGAGTACATGAAGGTTTTTTTATGTTTGCTTGTAGGTAAGAAGCAAGACGTGTGGTATGTTGTGGATCTGCTGACTGGTGAGAAGCAACAAACACTGACCTCTTCCTACGCTGAGATGTTATGTCCATCTTCATCTCTGCTCTACCTCGGCCGCACTGGTAAGGGCCAATACCTGTCCATAGTTCTGACTTTAGGTACCGTGAGACCATCTCTGTTTGTGTCTATATGAGCAGAAAAACCAAAGATATCTTTAAGAGTGGTAGTGCTTCTTATCAAAATTATAAATGCTGTAATACTGTTACTGGACAGTAGGCATGTGACTGTATTAATTTTTTACAAATCACGATAATTGATACAACTTTTATCAGGATTTTCTGTATTATCATGGTATTTAAAGCATTGAATCATATATTTTATTGTTGTGCTTAATGAACATTTAAATCAATCCACAAATAAATTATGATTTATAGACTGCTGAATATACAAAGTATTGCATTTCACATCACTGAAAGTTTATTGGTTAAAATATAAATGAAGACTGTTATGAATAGGGGAGTAATCTTTAAATTACGTGGGATAATTAAAATAACTGACGTTTTTTACATGGCTCTCTAAAATGCGTGATTCTGGTCAAATGCAACATTTAGTAGTCAGATATATTCAGTGTTGTCTATGGCAACACTGTATTTTTTGTTTAATTCAAAAGCAACTGGCCCATTTCAAAATTGTAAAAGGACTGTCCCAGTTTAAATGCAAGTAAAAAAACTTTTTTTATGAAGTATACTCACTCAGGGACTTGTGTAAGTAAGAATTTACCTGAAAAGATTTTAGATTTTATTTTATCATATGTTAATTTAAAAAGTCTTGTATAATTTTATCTGCTGTATTTTTGTGTTTATTTGGTTTTATTTTGTGTTTGTAACTCTTGTATTATTCTAACTCAGTTTTGCCATTAAGATAGCCTTAGATGCTGACATGGCAATAAAAATAAATTACTACTACTCCAGATTGAATTGAAAAAAGATACCAGAGAACTTCATTTAAGTATTTATGTTACTGTAATATTGCTGCACCCTGTCATTATGTCTTGCATAACACAAGCAAAGACATGTTCACACTCATTCTCCCAAGTATTCGTATGTGCATAATATATCACAATTGCATGGGTACAAAGACAAAAACAAAAGTTATTAAACACTGACACACACATTTATGTGTAAAAATGCGGAAATTTGACCATGGCACAAACTAGTGCATTTGTTTCCGTAGTCTCACAACAACCTGTAACCTGAGACCCTCTCTGTAAAACGATGGGGATTATTATTATTCATTATGTATTAAATTATGTAATGCACATTCATTCTAAGATACACTTTTCACCCCGTAGTAGTAAGCCTTGTCAAGCACTCAGTCAGCTGGGGAGTGTTAAACAGCCCTTAAGCAAGGGTTGCATTAGCACATTCTACATTTTGACTTGTTAGTGGAAATTAGCTAGTGTGTTTTTATAGAAATGTAAACAGTTGTGCTAATATGTTATCTAGAATTGTTAACAGCTCACAATAACAATATTGTGCATATTACAGAATAATGACACATCACATCTGCTGGAGTCGATACACGTCTAATGCAAAGACATTTTAAAGCCAAAACAACTCTCATATGATCTGAATATCAAAGATATTCATTGTTGGTCTTGCTATGAGTATTACACTGAATGTATGAGTCCAAGAAGTCAAAATGTAGATGTACATAAAATGTACATACTAATGCAACCCTTGCTTATGGGCTATTTAACACTCCCCAGCTGATTGAGTGTAAAACCTGCGATAAGATGCATACGATGAGAATTCTTAAGACTACAGGGGATATAAATGTGTCTTAGAATGAATGTGCGTTACAGAATTGAATACATAATGAATAATAATAATCTCCATTGTTTTACAGAGGTGGTCTCAGGTTACAAAACCATCGATTAGATGCTTGAGAAGGCTTACGACTACAGGGGTGAAAAGTGTATATTAAAATGAATTTATTGCTGAGCTGTTGATTGCATTGATCCTCAGAATACACGATCACTATGTATGACACCAAGAGCAGAGAGCTGCGCTGGAACGCTACTTATTCTGACTACGCTTTCACCCTTCCAGACGACGACACCAAACACAGTAAGGCAGCTTTATCAGTTTGAAAACCCTTTCAATCCTCTTTCGTAGCACAACATAACATTGTTTTCTGTGTTTGACAGATATGGCCCACTTTGTGTCCAATGGTGATGGCCTAGTGGTGACAGTGGACAGTGAGTCCGGAGACGTGCAGTGGGTTCAGAATTACAACTCCCCTGTGGTGGCGATCTACATCTGGCAGCGTGAGGGCCTGCGCAAAGTCCCGCACACCAATGTTGCTGTGGAAACTTTGCGTTATCTCACTTTCATGTCAGGAGAGGTGGGCCGCATTACACAGTGGAAGTATCCATTTCCTCGGGAGAAGAAAACCAAAGATAAACTGATGTAAGCAGCCCTTCTAATAAGACAAAGTACTTATAATGTTTGTTTGTTTTTTCCAATGGGGGTAAATTGAGAAAAATGACTGCACATGTTAATTTTTTACAGGTTGTGAAACTGTATTTTGCTTTATTTCCCTAAAATAATATTATCCTTCTTAACAATTTTGGTCATCATGTCACTTCCAGCATCAAGTTTCTTGCTGAAATGCCACCTCTTTTATATTTACATGGATGGCAAAGCCACATTTTACTCTCATTTAGCACTAATATTGGACCATGTGTACATAAGTGTACCTGCATGTTGCATCTCCAATATCTAAGCCACATCCTGTCTGTGTTTGTGAAGTGTGGGGAAGAACTGATTCTAGAAATTCAAAGATGCGTAGCCTGCATTTTCAGTATAGATTAAATACTTAAACGCTTTGAGGAGAGATGCAAAAATTGTGAGTACAGTCCTGCACTTAAAATGGAACTGTTTGGGACAAGACATTCTGGAGGTTTAAAAGAAATGTGAAGCTTGTATGTTTGTTAAGCCTTTCATACAACTTTATATTCTGAACTGATCAAGAACAAGACACTTACTGGTATTGGACTGACATTAGTATCTCATGGTTGCAGTATCGGTATTTGTACCAGATAAAAAAGTGGTATGTAGTAGGGCTGCACAATTAATCGAATTTCTAATCGCGATTGCAATTATGAATGCCACAATTACGTAATCGTTCAAAGCGGCAATTAATCGTTCAAAGTCCACTTATGTTATTCTGCGTGCTAAAGATGCGTTTTTTTCTTTCTACATGTTATCTTAAGGGTTTTATAAACATCATTCAATGTAAATTGTGATAATCGTAATTAATAATCACAATTACAATTTCAAGGGAATAATCGACAATTATGATTTTTGTCATAATCTTGCAGCCCTAGTATGTAGCCATCCCTAGCTTTGTGGCACAATGTTTAGAGCAGCTCACTTTATATATTGCAGTAACAGACGTAAAATAAAACTGGGATTGTTGTTGTCATTATGTAAAAGACTGGATGAATAAAGATTAGCCATTGTATAAAACTTAGCAGTTCCTTTGCGAGATGTTTATAGTCAAAGTATGTGACTTTTGAAAACAAAATATGACTAATTTGCTATTTCTGGCTGGTTTCTGACAGGTCCACGTTGTATGTAGGGAAACACTCCTCTGGCCTGTATGCTTCTCCCTCCCTGGTGCATGATGGAGTTACTGTTGTGGTGAGTGGTGTTAAAAACCTTTAAAAATGTCTTCTCATACTTTTATAGAACTACATGGTTAAATTAACTGTAGTCACGCTTATAACCTCAGGGTTTGGCCAACAGTCACTTGATGAGAACAAAACTTGAACTGAATTAAGCTGGATGATTACATGGTTGTCTAGTGGAAAGTGTAGTCGGAGGTGGAAAGTTATCAATGGCTTCAACATTTGCAACATTTCATGAACCGAAACTCATAGTTGTATAGGAGTATAACCTTGACGGAGTAAAAAATGCCAGAATCTCTCGTGCACAGGGCTTCAACAGAACCTGATCATATCCTGTAAGAAGATATGTAGTCATGCGATTTGTAACAGTATTAAATTGCAATTCACACATTCACTGACTTGAATTCATCTCTTCTATAAGTATGTTTTTATTTTTCAGTGTAAATATTACGTCAAAATCAAATCAATTTGAGCACGATTTAAACTCGGATGATTGTAACCACTCTTAAGTTCGTCTGCCTTGTGAAAACTAGAGCATTTTGTGATATCACAAATCCCGGAAAATATGCGTTGTAGTCCAAACGAGTCGTTCGTTGTAGTTTTTGAGAAGTGATATCTGTTAAATAAAATATCTCCTTTTGAATTGGACTTTGAGCTTTGTAACTTTGCAGATCTTTTTTATGCTCAAACAGCAACATTACAGACTAACTAAAGTTGAAAAAGGGAAAAAGCATAATAGGACCCCTTTAAAATTCCTTTTTTATATATATTTGTTTGGCTATAAAGTTCTGATTAAAAGAATTAAATTCTTAAAAAAAGGCTATAAAATTATAAAAACAAATATTTGTAAATTAATATCTCACGGTATTTGGGGAAAAAATGCTTTTTACCTTAAATTGTACTTTTCTTTGACAATGGCATAAATGTGACTCTCTTCTACATCATTAACCAGTATAATTTTCAGTTTGTTAGGCAATGCAATGTCTTCATGCTTGGAAGTTGGAAATAAAATGGGAGTATCCCACATCTGACTTTGTAAAAATATTTACAGTGATGTAGTAGAATGTTCTTGTTTATTTGTTTGGTTTGTTTTTTTGTTTTGTTTTATTAATACAGATTTTTAGAATTTTAGGCCTGAAAAGGTCCCAGTACCGATTCAGAAGGGATAGAATGCTGTTGTAGTGCATGCATGCTCATGACCAAGTGTGTGTGCATGTGTGTATTTCAGCCTCGTGGCAGGACGTTTCCCATGCTGGAGGGCCCCAGTAACCAGGAGTCAAGCATGGAGGATGAGCAGGAGTGTGTGATCACTCCCAGTACCACAGTGAAGTTCAGTGCAGCACTGAAAGAGAGAAACCACATCAACTTCATGAGGAATTCACTGCTGTTGATAGGTGCTGCTTACTGCACACTCAAAAATACCTGCACTCAAAGCTGTGGGAATCATGCAAAAATGTGCCACTCTTGCCCACTAGTGGAGACATTTTACTGCAGTTGTAAAATATCTCCACTTCTTTCCCAGCCTGTACACGTTTTTTGGTGGGGATTCCCCAGTAAATTTCGCATTTCAGGGGCTAAATATCACGTTATTGCGGTCGCTTCAACCCGCGGACATGAAAAACAACCCGCGGTAACGGTGTTAAAGTAGCCCAATTCCACGGGAAAACAGCGAACTTGGCAACACTGCTGAAGACAACAAAACAAACTGTCACAATGTATCTTAATGTTTTACAGAAATGTGGTGTTGTAGAAAGCCATAAACTACACGTTTGCTGAAAATATTACATTTATATTCTTAATTAGCGCATAATTGTCGTAAGTCTTGACCGACTTATTATGTGCTGTACTATGTTGCCTCATGTTTATTAAGGTATGAACATTTTGCTCAACGGTAATGTTTCTCTTCTGCAGGTCACCACGAGACACCGCCAGATGCTCATACTAAAATTCTGGAAAAATTTCCAGAGAGCATCCCTCGCCAACATATCAACGTTATTCCCCCTGCCACAGAGAAGACCATTGAAGAGGTAAAAACGATAAGTAAACACTCAGTAGCACTGCTGTGTGGATAATGTTATGTAATAGCTTTAACAATTTGCAATGTGTATAACATGGAGAGGATTGTAAATAATAGCCATTTCTGAAGTCTGATCACCAAATCAATGACTTTCACGATGCGTTTTAAAAGAGGAAGGAGCCTTTTAGACCACCTTATTAGAGAATTATTATTATTATTATGGTTATTGGTTTTATTGAAAAGAGCATGTGGTAACATGATTTGGAAAAAGCACATGACACTTTGTGGAAATACAGTGATCGACAACAACATTAAAATAATAATAATAATATGTTTAATTTATATAGCGCCTTTCCCAAGCTCAAGGACACTCTACAAGGTACAACAAACCAGCAAATATTGATTACAAAGAAACAATTTCATTGGACATTTGCCCAATTCAGTTCAGTTCAAATAATGCAGTTGCATATAACACAGATTATGTAGTAAAGACAGAAATGATTTTAGATACAAATGGCAGGTTCGAGATTGGACGGTAGTTGGATAGATTTACAGGATCCAGATTCAGTTTTTTGAGAATAGGAGTAACAGCAGCAGTCTTGAGTGAGATAGGAACAGTGGAAGAAATGAAAGACATGTTGATGAGGTGTGAGATTGGGGCAGAAATAACAGGGATACAGTGTTTCAGGAGAAAAGTAGGTGCAGGGTCTAGTCGGCTTGAAGAGGAATTCGATTTCTGTATTAAATCAGCAATTAGAGATGGATTTGTTAAGGTAAAGGTAGTCAATGATTGGGTAGACTGAGTTTGCTCACAATTAGAAATAGTCGGTTCCTCATCAAAAGTCCCACATAAAACATCTAACTTTCCCTGAAAGTGGTGCAAAAAAGTACAACACAAATCTTCAGATTCATGTTGGCTGATACTATGATTTGGTGCCTGGATTAGTTTGTTTACCATGCTAAATAGTGCTTTAGGCCTATTTTTAGCTTTGTTAATGATGCTGGAGATATAAGAAGAGCGGGGCTGCATTCAAGGCAGTTTTGTAGCTCTTGATGTAATCAGAATAAACAAGATAATGGACAGTTAAACCCGTTTTCCTAAAAAGACATTCAAGTTGTCTGCTTTTTGCTTTCATAGCACGAAGCTCTGCATTACACCAAGGACCAGTGAGACATGGGAACAGACCTGGTCCTAATTGGAGCATACTCATCCAGGATGTTAGAAATAAGATAATGGTACATATCATAAATCATAGATGGACAGGTAAAATGTAAAACTTCAGGAACAGCAGAGGAAGCAACAGAAGTAGAGAATGTACTGGTATCGACAGCATTTACATGACGATATGAAATTGTTATGTTATCAGTGCATTTGGCTGGACAGATTAATGTAAAATCAAAAATAATAAGCTTGTGGTCAGAGATAGGAATAGCCAGACCACTGACGGAGATATTATTCAAACCAGATGTACAGACCAGATCAAGTGTATGACCATGAGTGGGAGTTGGAAAGTTAATGTTCTGAATAAGATCGAAACAGTCCAGTACAGTCAATAGTTGAGCAGTATTAGAGCAGACAGTGTCAACATGGATGTTAAAATCACCAAGTAAGATAACCTGGGACTACACAGCACAGGCTAACGTTAGTAATTGACTGAGTTCTGAGAAGAATTCTGTTTGCTGCTTGGGTGGTCTATAAATCAATATAACTATGACGGGACTTTTTAAACCAACCTTCATAAGCATAAACTCAAATGTCGTAGTATTATGAAAATCACCTGCCAGATATTGTATAGATCCCCCTTGTGTTGCCAAAACAGCTGTGATGCATTGAGGCAAGGCCTCAACAAGATCTCTGAACGTGTCCTGTGGTTTCTAGCACAAAAGACGTTAGCAGCAGGTCCTCTAATTTCTGCAGGTTGTGAGGTGGGGCCTCCATGGATGGGATTTGTTGGTCCAGCACATCCCACAATTGCTCAAACAGATTGAGATCTGGGGAATTCGGAGGCCAAGGCAATACCTTGAACTCTTTGTCCTTTGTTCCTGTAACCATTCCTCAGCAATTTTTGCACTGTTGCAGGGTGCTTTCTGCTGAAAGAGGCCACTGCCACCAGACAACGCCATTGCCAAGAAGGGGTGTACGTGGTCTGATGCTCATGTGCCCATTGTAGGCTCTTTGTAGGGGTCATCATGGGACTCTGACCGGTCTGTGGCTACGCAGCCCCATACGCAGCAAACTGCGATGAACTGTTAATTTTTACAACTTTCTTTAATGGCTAGCATTAAGTTTTTCAGCAATTTGAGCTACAGTAGCTCTTCTCTGTGATCAGACCAAACAGGATAGTCTTCACTCACCACAGGTGCACAAGAGTGTTAAAGTTGGGTGAAATGCTTGTCCCCTGAAGGTTTTTTTAGGGTTAGGGTTGAAAATGTCCAACAACGCAGGGAATGATGAGAGGGCAGCATCTTCTGTTTCAAGTTTTTGCATTAAATCACACAGTGCACACCACTGTGTGATGTAATGCATTCATGAATTCATGACAGCATTGGTAAAGTACCCAACTGTCCCTCTGATTTTTATTGTAAGGTGAAGAACCACCAAATTTTTAATATGGAAGCACTTCCCGCATCATTCATTCATTCCTTGACTGTGAAACACAAAACGTACAAAGATGGACCCAGAAAATGTTTGCCATTTTCATCACAAGGACGGCAAAAGAATCTGTAATACAGCTGTCATGCTGTACAGATTTGACCTTTTTTTATAAGCTGAATTTTATTGAATGCTTGATTATCTGTATATGCAATTTAATTGCTAAAAATCTTTGTTTGTATTTGTGTTTATTGCCATATCAAAGCATGTTCTGCTTTGTTCCAGAAAGTAAATGAGAGTGGAATGGAAGACAACAGTCCTCTGCCTCCACCTGTGTCATCCCTGCAGGAGAAACCCGACCGTGTCCCACGTGTGGAGACTCCAGTGGACTCCATGCTGAAGGACATGGCCACCATCATCTTCTGCACTTTCCTTCTGGCCGGCTGGGTGGCCTTCATCATCACCTACCCCAAGGTAAACACACTAAATTTGTTCATTGAGGTGAGTTTTACTCTCACCATCACTCTAAGACTGAATGATTTTCCAAGCTGAATGTCTAGAATCTAGCCCTCTACAGTTAAGACAAACATATAATAAGATAATGAAAGTCAAGCAGTTAATCAGAGACTTAGAATCCCAGCTGACATGCCTTACTCTTCATAAAAACACAGTTTCTAGTTTTTAGATGGATCATGTTCATGCACTTAATCTACTAGAGTTATTTATCTTAGTAAAAGTCAGAATAAAAGCAAAGCTAACCAAAATGAAAATAACTTGTATTCACACAATATTGTGTGACTATAGTGAGTTAATTGAGTGAAGGGAATGATGGGTAAAGGGAAAGAAGTGGGGGAGAAGGAACAAATGTGAAGGAAGGACAAGACAGAAAAGATATTTGCCACACCCCACGAGCATGCAACCATTCCAACATGTCCCAGTCTGAGATGGGATATTCAGCTAATGAGCACGAGGATGCAGGTTAGGGCTGTCAGCAAAACGAGAATCACAATAATTGGCATTACCGTTTAATCTATTTTTGAATTTGCCAATTGGTTGGCATTTAGGGAGGTTGTGTGCTTGCAAAATGCCCCACACCCATTCTACATCTTTGCCTAATATGGCCTTTATTGTTCTGTCTAGGCAAAAAGTAAGGTTATTAATTTAAAATAATGCTAAATTTATAAATGTTTGGTTGAAAAGTGTCTCTTCTGTTTGGTCTCTTCGGTCAGCTCTGAGAGTATTGTGGTGTGTTGTGTTTTGATCAGAGTGTCCACAAGCAGCAGCAGTTGCAACACCTGCAATTTCAGCAGCAGATGGAGGAAAAGCTGCAGCTCCTGCAGCGGCAGCAGCTCATTTTCCAGCCACCCAGTGATCTGCCTCCTGACACTGACTTCCTAGAGGCAGCCCATACCCGCTCTGAGAGCTCCACCCACAGCAGTCCCAACATCACCCCACGAGCATCCAACCATTCCAACATGTCCCAGTCTGAAATGGGACATTCAGCTAATGAGCACGAGGATGCAGGTTAGGGCTGTCAGTAAAACAATAATCACAATAATTGCCATTACCATTTAATCTTTTTTTGAATTTGCCAATTGGTTGACTTCTGATTTCTTATCTTTTAATTTCAGAGGAAGAATCCAACATTGTCAGAATTGGAAACATCACTTTCAACCCTAGAGATGTACTTGGACATGGTGCTGAGGGAACTATTGTGTACAGGCAAGTTATATTTACATTTATTCATTTAGTAAATGCTTTTGTCCAAGGTGCCAAATGTGAAATACAACAAGTGATTCATCAAAAAGAGGCAAATAAACATGAGAAGTAGCTGTAATGCAAAGTTTCAGGGATCGTTCAGAATAGTACAAGCTAGAATAGGGAGGGCATAGTGAAAGCATAGAGGGGTTTTTTTTTTTCAGTAGGATGCACTTAAGTGCTCTAAGAAGAGAAGTTTTTTTGGATTTTGTTCCTCACTGTGATGGTACCAAAAGGTGTTGCTCACTTACCAATCTCAGGCTTCTGGAGAGGATGTAGACTCTTAAGAGTGAGTGAAAGTAGGAGGGTGCAAAGTGTGTGGCTGTTCCGTATAGAAGCAATATCTTGAAATTGATGTGAGCCACAGCCAGTAACCAGTGGAGAGAGATAAGAGGTGTCACGTGAACTCGTTTGGGCTTGTTGAAGACCAGTCATGCTGCTGCGTTCTCAATCATTTGTAGAGGTTTGATTGTGCTTGATGGAAGTCCTACCAGAAGAGCATTGCAGTAGTCCAGCCTAAAAGTGACAAGGACCTGGACAAGAAGTTGTGCTACTGTTAGAAAGGGCCTGATCTTCCAGAGAATGACCATTGTAATTTTTTCTGATTTCTGTGTTATTTCAGGGGTCAGTTTGATAACCGTCCAGTGGCAGTGAAGAGGATTCTCCCAGAATGCTTTAGCTTTGCCGACCGTGAGGTTCAGCTGCTGCGCGAGTCAGACGAGCATCCAAATGTGATTCGTTACTTCTGCACTGAGAGAGACCGTCAGTTTCAGTACATTGCCATAGAGCTGTGTAGCTCCACACTGCAAGAGGTATAACAAACACCACAACATGACATGTCATTGGTGTTTCAGGTTAAAAACCCACATTGAATATTACAATAATTTATTTAAATGTGCATTTTAGGTTTTATTTAAAATGTCAAACCACAAGAACAAAAACTTTTCCTTTCACTGACCATTTTTTCATGTTTAACACATATAAGGAATTTATCAATGTAACCCTAGTAATTTACTTGAACTGAAATGGACAAAATCTGATGATCATGTTATCCAGCATGATTCGAGAATGTTCCCAAGCAAGCGTCTTGTAATTTAACAGATTGCAGAAAGACACAAATAATTTTTTCTATACTGTATAATATAAAATTATAATGTTGTTTAATTTTAATAATGATTTATTTATTTACTTATTTATATTTTATTGTTTACTTTTAGTATGTGGAACGAAAGGATTTTAACCGCCACGGTTTGGAGCCAGTGACACTGCTAGAGCAAACCATGTCTGGACTGGCTCATTTACATTCACTTAATATAGGTAACCTAACCATTATCAGCAACATCAGTAATACACTTTTAAATAGTCTGCATTTTAGGTGAATGAATCAATATTCTTGAAGTACTGTGTTTTTTTTTTTTTTCAAAAAATCTGTTTGATACAAGTTTTTGTAACACTCAGTCTTTCATGGGTTGATAGTTCACAGAGATCTGAAGCCACACAACATCCTGGTGTCGATGCCGAACACACATGGGCGTGTGAAGGCCATGATCTCAGACTTTGGCCTATGCAAGAAGCTGGCAGTGGGCAGACACAGCTTCAGCAGGAAGTCTGGGGTCCCGGGCACTGAGGGCTGGATTGCTCCAGAAGTGCTCAGTGAGGATGCAAAGCATAACCCTGTAAGAGCTCAGAAAACAGGCTGTGTCTGTTTGCATTGATTTTAACAGCTAAGAGAATGAAAAATATTGTTTGTTTTTAAATAAATTTAAATATTATAAATATTATAGTGATTATAATATATACAGATTATAAATGTTGATAGTTTAGTTAGTTATTAGAAATTAGCAAATTTGTATTGATGTTAATTTATAAGTACAATGTTTATTTATACTTACTTAATATATTAGTATGTGTAGAGATTAATTTAGATTACTGTGTGTTGTAAATATTCCTCATTATTAGTTTCTGATAACATTATTCATTATTTGTTCATTATTCGTTAACTGATTGAATCATGGTAATGTGTTACCAATAATTTCATTTGACCAAATTTGAAATAGCACAATTAGAACATGTGTTTATTTCATGAATTTTTCATTCCTAAAGTAGCTCTCGTATATGAAACTACTCTTACGCTAGCAATAGCATTTCTTGCTCTCTCTTTGTCTATTCATTTGAAACTTTTGTAACAGTACATGAAGAATGTGTGTAAGTTACATAACATTAATGCAGTCAACAAACCAGGAACTATTTCAGAATTATAGAAATAGTACAAATAGCTTTGTAATTATAGACAATGAGTTGAAACGTTAAGTTAGTGCTTTGGTATATGGTTGATATAAATATTGCCGTTTGCGAGAAATGTCATAAGTTTTACTGTGGTAATATGTCGTGTGCCCTGATGATCTGTCATTTATAGCTGTCATATATATATATATATATATATATATATATATAAAAGACACAAAATAATACTGTATCTTTAGCAGTACCCATCGCAAATGATCCGCCACACTCTACTGCTGCACAGCAAAACTTGAAGAGAACAATTGTTGAGCTTTATATAACTTAAAACTGACAGGGAGAAATATTTAACAAGGACGGGACAGGGTGATCAGGACATGAAGTGGCAGGGGTCTTGTTTTGTCCTAAAAGGATTTTTTTCCTGCAGTAATGACATTGAACATAACTGCCTGAACGTTACATAGCTACTTACCAAATAAATAGATAGATAAACATTAAATATTGATTTGGCATTTATGTGAAAAAAAATGGAAGTGCACAAGTCACAAGTGAGACATGAAACAGTTACACAGTTTAGCTGTCATTATATAAAAATACATGACTACAGAATCCTGCATTGGCCATCAGTATTCCAGAAAGCCATGTCAGAAGAGTTTTGTCAATGGCTAGACAATCACAGTTTCACCTTTTCACCTCTGATGTTTCAGACCTGCATGGTAGACATCTTCTCTGCAGGCTGTGTGTTTTACTATGTGGTATCTGAAGGCCACCACCCCTTTGGAAAGTCCTTGCAGCGGCAAGCAAACATTCTGCTGGGTGCCTACTCGCTGGAATACTTAGACCCTAACAGACATGGTAGGACAGAAAGACATCTTCATGCATTCAAAAACACCAGAGCTCATTTTGGGTCAGTTTGTCAAATTTTTGATCATGCATGTGATCATTTGTGCTGTTGCAGACGATATTGTGGCCCGAAACTTGATCGAGCAGATGTTGAGTATGGAACCAGAGAAAAGACCCTCAGCAGACAAAGTGCTAAAGCATCCCTTCTTCTGGAGTCTGGAAAAACAGCTGCAGTTCTTCCAGGTTAGTTAGTCAGTCATCCTTCATTTAATCAGGTTTAAATGCATCTTTAGCAAACAGTACCCTGGCCAAGAAGACAGCAAAAGGCACAACAACAAAGACTGCATTTACACTTGGCATTAACATGCGATCACTGCGAGCCGATCAAGCAGATCAGATCATCAGTCAATCAGAACACGGCACGTTTACACTTGGCAACATCAGCTGACTTCTCTATCTGGACAACATCCGGATACAGGTCACATGTTAATGCCAAGTATAAACGCAGCCAAAGTAACTTAACAACACCAAATCATCTAAGATCATTTCTATTTTTTTCTGTAAATTTATAATTCTGTCTGAACAGAATTGTTTACATAAAAATAGTTAAAGGGGTCATGAATTGGGAAATCAAAACTACCTTGATCTTTTAACATATAGGAGGTCAGTAGCGGACTCCTGTGTGAAAGCTGCTTCCCCCCCTCACAAGAGTCACCTAAGAGGGGATTGAAATTCAGGCCCTGAATAAATGTCTAAAAATCCTGATTGGAGTATCACTATAAATAGTTATAAATGATAAATAGAAGGCTTTAAAAAGATCGGTATCGGTGATCGGTATCGGCAGATACTGCTGTCTGTGATCGGCCTCAAAAATCCTGATCGGAGCACCCCTA